CACTCACCTTCTGTGTGGAGATGCTCCTCGAACCCTTCAACCCTAAACTGAAATTTGGCCTGAGTGAGCTGCAAATAGAGTTTGGGGTGTTCGGATGGGGCACAGTTTTGGGGGGGTTCGCTTTGGGCCCGTATCTTGTGCATGGTACAAGCCCTGTAGCCTAGATAACTCCTAGGATGGCTTTGCTTTGTGCTGCTAGGAGAAGCTGAAGAAAACCACCGAAGAGGCCAACCTGTATGAGTACACCTGTAAAGAGAGCAGCAAGGTCCTGGACCAGCTCAAATCCGCTGTGGACTTTCTGTTTAAACAAATACAGTGCAAGGACACCAAAATAATGGAGCAGCTTGGCGAGAGCGGGGAGATCACGGATCTGAACCTGATGCAGTATTTTGGTGAGTTGTTAGTGGTTTTTCCTTTGCACAAATTTTAGTAAAGCTCAAAAAAAAACAACACCAAAACCAACCCCAAAGTATTTCAGAGAAACTCACTGATAGAGAAGTGAGTCACTCACACATTTATGGTGGGAGTGAGTGTGGGTCTAGTAGCTAGAACAAGGGGCTCTTGAACTTCTGAGTTCTCTTCTTGGCATTAGAGGGGAATGTAGGCTCTTGGGGTTGGAGCAGGGTCTGGGGATCAGGACTGCTGAGTTTTATTCTTGACTCTAGCGGGGGAATGTGGGACCTGGTCTCTTTTGTATAGCACTCCAGTGGTTGGGGTGGGCCTGGGGAGCCTGGATTCTGTTCTCCGCTCTGGGAAGAAGTGTTGCCTACTAGTTAGAGCAGAAGCCTGGGGACCAGGACTCCTGAGTTCTATTCTTGTCTCTAGGGGGGGACCATAGGGTCTAGTATGTTTTGTATAGGGCCCCACAAACCCAAGGTCTCACCTACCCAGTGATAACCTATGTCACACAAGAGCTTGAAATAGAACCCAGGCTCCTGCCTTCCAGTGGGGCTTTTGCCAGAAGTGGGCTCAGAATGAACAGTATCTTATGCCTGGGTCTGGGGTAGGGTTGCCAAGTGTCCAATTTTCGACTGGAACGCCCAGTCAAAAAGAAACCCTGGCAGCTCCGGTTGACACTGCCAACTAGGCCATTAAAAGTCCAGTCAGTGGCACAAAGGGGGCCCAGGGCTAAGGCAGGCTGTCTTTGTTTTTGTGCGATTAGAAAGTTGGCAACCCTAATCTGGGGGGGGGTCATCAGTTTTAACTTGTCCCACACAGGTATCATAGAAAAGAAAACCAATGATCTCCTGCTCATTGAATCCTTCCTGCGCTATAAGGAGGTCGAGGGAGAGCAGGATTCGCTCCCTTTATTGAATCCATTTTTGGGTGGCACCGGACTCCTTAAAAGTACAGATGCAGCGAAATTACCCCCATCTTCCCCTACCATAGAGCATGTAGTAGAGAACGTAGAGGATGGTAAGTACTCATATCTTCTCTCCCAGACGCTACCTATCGCTCACAGGAACAGAACCTATCTTACATGGGAACAGAACCATAGAGGCCTGGCTGGGGCAGAAGCAAGGAGACTGCAAAAGGAACAAAATGGGGAATGTGAATCAAATGGCAGGATCGTAGCAGTCAGAGGTGGAAAAGGCTCCCGGGATTATAACTGTCTCCTCCCACCCACTTGCCAATACGTTCACATCTTGGCTAATGCTCCATCTAGCCTGGCTTGAAAAGGCTTTAGTGATGGGGTTTTCACGACTTCCCTTGGGAGTCTGTTCTAAAAGATCTAGCTGGGCCTGATTCTCAACTACGCCAAGGCCCTTCTACATTGCCCTGGCATAAAGAAGCCTTAAAGTAGGTGGAAAGGATGCTATGATAATATCCCCTGTGGAGGGGGCTGCCCTGCTGGGCATAAGGGCTCTGCACCAGCCCTGCTCCCAGCTCCTGTGATGGGATGGCTGGAGTGCACTGCACTATGGCTGTTCTCTGTTTCCCAGGGCTCACAGTGGCCAGGGGAAGTGAAGCATAAGAGCAGCCCTGGGACTGCTCTAAATTAAACCAGGGACGAAACGGGATCCTTTATAGCCCCAAAATATAGGGAAGCAAAGGTGGCTAAAAGTCACCTCCACCCCTGCCTCTAGTGGAGGAATGGAGTCACAGAATCAGGCCCCATAGTTTCTAAGATGGGGCCAAATGCTGGGAGTTCCCTAGTGCCTGCAGTTCCTGCTGGAGTCAATGGGAGATGTATGGGCTCATTGCCTACCCAGGATTTGGTTCACTGCTTTATTGGCGTGGGCAAATTTCTGACAGTCTGGGGACTTAGCACCCTTATACTCAGATGGCCATGGGAATGAAATGCAATAGCAGAGCCGGGGCAATATTTAACACTAATGTGAGTGGGTGAAACTCCATGGGCCCCTGGATTTGCATAGTATTAATGAGATTAGCAGCCTTCTGATACAGTTATCAGAAAGACTGGGTTTGCAGCAAGCGCAGTGACAAGTTAGGACTTTCACTGAAGCTCTGGAGAGATTTTTCACCCTAATAATCCCAATTTCTTTTGAAACAGTTGATTGGCCTTTGGACCATGGCAGTTTGCGCAGCCTGATTATTGGGAACTTGGAGAAGGACGAGTCCAGTAGGATCTCACTGGACAAAGAGAAGAAGAGAGGGATAATTTTATAGACGGGGAAAAGCAAATACACTGGGTATAAATAATAGGTTCTTAATTCACTTGAAATCAAAATCTGATTCTGTGCTTAATTTAAACAAAGCTAACTTTAAGTCTCAGGAATGCTAGTACTGTCTTGTATTTACAATAGGCTTTGCCATCCGGCAGGATCCCAAAGCCTTTTACAAACTTAAACGAAGCTCTACCAATTATAGGCAGGCATCACATATAAAGAAATGCAACCATTTCTGGGGTGGAAAGGAGGGCAGCAGTTGTCTAACAATCATTCACAACAGTTTGGCCGCGGCACTGGGACTAACGTCCTCTGTGTTGCAAAATGCTGGTGCACTAAGTACATCGGCATTTAATGGCCACAGGTGGGCATGACCTCACTTCTCCATCTCCTCTGCCTGTGCAAATTGCCATGGGCTCATCGATATCCACACAGAGCGGGCAGGCCCCTGTTTAAAGTCCCCACACATTAAACTAAAGGATGGAGGCCTGAGTTGATGTTGCACTTCCAGGTGTTTCAGACCTGAGATGATTCTTCTATTGGACCGTGGCTGCCTCTCACTTCTTAGTACGTGGGGCTGGCTCCTCGGCTGGTGTAAATCAGTAGAGTGCCATTGAATTCAATAGAGCTGATTTACCCCAGCTTTCGATCTGGTCCATGATTTTTAACATTTCTGTGGGTTTTTTTTTTAATTAACAAATATTCTGTCTGTAGACAAACACTGGCGAGAATCCCAGAGAACTAGACAAAAGGGGGGAAACTAGAAAGCAGGAGAGACACTGTTGTCTAGTGGATCAACCATTTGAGTGGGACTCTGGACAGCTGGGCTCTAATCCTAGCTCTGCCACTGGCCTGCTGGGTGACCTTAGGCAACTCACATCCACGTCTCTGTGCCTTGGTTTCCCCATCTGTTAAATCGGGATACGGATACTGACCTCCTTTGTAAAGTGCTTTGAGATCTACTCATGAAAAGCTCTGTATAAGAACTATGTGGTCTATTATTACTGTAGAAAAGCTCAAAAGTGGAAGCAACCAGCTTGACTGCTAGCTACTGCCTGATCTTCCAGTCTGAAACAGACATTGATCGCTTAGCACACAGAGCAAGGAGATTTCCCCTTCTGCAATACCCTTCAGCCATAGTTGCTCAAATGGAAAGCACATGATGATCAAGTATCAGAGGGGTAGCTGTGTTAGTCTGGATCTGTAAAAGTGCCAAAGAGTCCTGTGGCACCTTATAGACTAACAGACGTACTGGAGCATAAGCTTTCGTGGGTGAATACCCACTTTGTCAGATGATAATCACAGTTTGCCTCCCCCTGGAATCAGAGAAGCCAGCAGGAAGGATAAAGTAAATGCTATAATAAAGGGACCTAAAGTTTTGCTCAAGATCCCAACTGGACTCCAAAGGCAGATGGGACAAAGGTTTTTCAGCCAAATCCTGATCTGAGTTGGCTGCGGCATAAATTCACTGACTTCAGGGGAATGACTCCAAATTTACTTGGGGGAAAGCGAGATCGGAATCCCTGGTTGCTAGTGGGATGCCTGGCACTGTGCATGAAGAAATCCCAAATCATGTGGGATTTGCAAAAGCGCCTAAGTGATTGAGGAGCACAGTGGTGCCATTGAACGTCAGTGGGACGGGGACTAGAGCGCCTAAGCCTCTTAGATGCTTTTGAACATCTCACTCACAGTTCCTGTTCCAAGGACAGATGAGACTCTGACAAGATGCCTGGGAGATCCAGAGAGATGGCAGTAGCTTGGAAAGATTTCTCACTTTGGATGGTGATGGTTTTGTAGCCACGTGGGACAGCAGTATTGTGCGCTTTGCAGAAGCAGGGGGTTTTCCAGAGGGGTGTGAATGAAGGGAGCCTGCACCAGTGGGTTTGAGAGGATAAAATAGCTGCATGTCTTTGTGCTCTCAAGGCAGCAGCTTTGTCATAACAGCTGTAGTCGTAGCAGTTGGAAAAGGAGGCAGGGTAGCCCTGCTTTGCCATCAAAAGCACAATTGAGCCTTAGTTATTTTGTCTTTTAAGCACCCCATACCTTACATGATACCCGTCACAGAGAGAGAAAGAGACGCTTTAGTGGTCTGCGCATGCTGCCCAGTAAGAAAAGTTTACTAATGCCAGCGATGTACCGTGCATCATTAGATTAGTGGCAGTTTGACAGCAAGCCACGCAGAATGATCCCATTTCCTCCCTGCTGGGCTTCTGCTGTTTGATGTTTGCAAACTGTACAACCCACCTCGGACCAGCCTTTGCCACCTTCCCTGTAACTGAGTCTCGTCGTCAGAAGTTCAGTCACAGGGATTTTTCGGTGGTGACCTTGTCTAGCTGTGGCTCAGTGAGTCTTGTGTGACTCAGCCCACAGCTGGGGAGATCTCTCTCTCTCACACTCACTCACTCACACTCATCCCACTTTTCCTCAGAGCTCTGCAGGGTTGTGTTTGCCCCAGACAGAAGCATTTATTTTACAGACCCTTTTCACTCTTGACATAGGCAGCTGGATTTCCTCCTGCAAAATGGATAATTTAATTTGGACACAGTTCAGATATGCAGTTCCCCAGTGACAGTAAGCTTTTCCCTGCAGAGAAAAACAGGCAAGAGTGGGACCACGTACAAACGATTGCACTGAAAACAGTCAGGCCAAACCCAGCTAGAACCGTAGGGGGAGGCAAGCGTTACAAGGGGGCCACCCCCATCACTGTGCTTGAGGAACTTACACAACCCCGGCTCTTAATCCTTCTCTTCCCCGTGGGTGATGATGTGGACGAGGTTTTTGTAGTCTAAATTTCCAGTGATGTCTGGGGGGAAAGCGGCAAACATCTGGTCGACCTGCAGTGTAAATGGGCCCAGATGGGAAAGGGTTAAACAGATTGGTTGGGTATTCAGGTGAGCAGAAGTGAAGGAGGGGGCTGGGAGCTGTTTGAAATCACAGGAAGTTCTGCCCTTGGCATCAATGGGAGCAGGCTGGGACGGGGAGACTGCCCTTTGCGGCGGCCTGCCCGTATTTCGCTCGCTTGTTAACCAAGCAATGGAAATATGGGAAGGAAAGGAAAGTCTCCAGCGCACCTCTAACTGCAAGGCCACTGATCTACACTAATCCTGTGCCCTGACCCCCAGCTCCGCTGAAGGCGCTTGCCAGTGCACTCCTATACGGCGACGCTCTGATGGGATTCCATCGCTCATCACTATCGCGGAGAGGTTGGGTCCACGCCCAGCCCTGGGTGCTGCTTGCCAACCCCCACACAATTCAGAGATGGCTTGGTCCCGGCCATCACAGAGATGGTGACATGTGGATCCGGGCTGGGTTTGAATTCTCACCTTTTGGGGGTGTTTGTATCCAGGGGCTTGGGTTTGACTGGTTATGGAAAGAGAGGCCTGCTGTGAAATTTAGCTCCTAGGCTCCCCCAAAGCCCAGTGCTATTGGACCCCAGGATGTAGGATGGTACAGGCTGTGGGAGATGGGCTCTGTTGCAATAGACTGATTTGCTTCATTCATCGTTACTTTGTGCAATGGCCTGATGCGATGGACCCCCCAGCACCCCGGAGCCCTATGTCATGGCTCTGACCTGGGCTCGGTACTCCCAGCCCCCACATCACATGAGGGCTGGACAATCGAAGGACTGTCTGTAGACAATGTGGGAGCAGCCAGGGACACGGCAAGAATTGGAATAGGGGAGCTGGGGGGCTGCCCAGGAGGGCTGCGGTGAACAGTGCGAGGACCCTGAGGAGAAGTAAGAATTGGGCTGTAGAGGGCTTTTTGGTGAGCCCCGGAGAGAATTTGTATGGGTAGTGGTCGGAAGTGGCAATGGGAATTGTGCCGCAGGATGATCTTGGGATTGCAGCAGGGTCCCAGGGCTGGGTCCCAGCGTAGAGGCCGGGCATGGGCTCCCCTATCATCGCCGTGAGGTGAGGAGAATTCTCTATGGGAAACACTGAGGCACTGCTCAGTCCAGGGCAGGGGAAGGACGGTTTCATTTGAACTCTTGTGGTTGCCCCATAGGGCGGGCTCTTGCTTTGTTCCTCTGTCCAAAGCACTAGATCACCCCGCCACAAATGGGAGACGGCAGACCAATGGGGAAACTGAGTCACAACAGGGAAACTGAGGCACGGACTTGTGATCTACCCTGGAAAGGTAAGCCAACCTGTTACAGCCTGAGCCTGCTGCCCACGCATGCGCAGTAAACAGGTCAGTGTTAGGCATTGCTGAATGGTGCACCCTGTATAAGGATGGAAGTGAAAAGGAGCCCTGTGCATACCTCTTCCTGGGAGAACCTCTCGCCCTGCGTCATCAGCATTTCTTTAATGCTGCAAATAAAAGAGCATGTTGTCAGAAAGAGGGAGGGACGGTGAGAAAACCAGAACAACTCCCCCTGCCCCATGCACACCCCAACTGCTGCTCTGCACTTACTAGTCAGATTTCAGGCCTTTGCCCTCGGGGTCAAACACCTTGAACGCGTTCAGGATCGTCTCCTCTGGATCGGCACCTGCAATGGGGAGCACATGCAACCGCTGCTGGCACAGAGCAGGGATTATGCCTGCCGCGGGCCGCACCAGGGAGTGGCATCCCCTTCGGGGAGGGGGATCGCAGATCCTGTGCCATCTCCCAGGAAACAGGGGCTGTGTGGTCGAGCAAGCTCATTCCCTGCAGGGAGGGGCCTGCAGATGGACGTGCCCTGGCCTACCACCGCCATGCACAGCAACGGCTGGCATCTCTCCACCCACCCCCTGCTGTCGGGGCCATGTGCATCCCATGGCATGGAGAGGAACAGATGCACATTCATGTTGCCCCTCCCTGCCCCCAATATGTAGCTAATCTACCCAGTGTATTTATAGCATGCTAGTCTCAGAGGAGCTGCGGGCTCGGTGGGCTTAAGGAATTCTGCACCAGTGTCCCATAGCTTGGGTTGCACAATGGGTGAGGGGATATGGCTGCTGAGCAGGAGCGACTCTGAGTCACAGAGAAGCTGCTGCTCTACGCAACATCCTCTCCTGAAAACCTGTCAGGACGTAGGCAGCAAAGAGCCACAATAGTTCACATCGGCACGCCTGGAGTCCGTGGCACCAAACCCCTCTGAGGGGTGTGGGCAGCTGTTAGAGAGCGTGTCTCATCTAGAGGCCCCAGGGTGCTGCACAACGATGTAAGCATTGCTATCTCTGTTTTGTAGCTGGGGAAACTGAGGCACAGAGCAGTGGCAACTTGCTCAAGGTCACCCAGCAGGCAAGGGGCAGAACTGAGAAGAGTGCAGGGGAGGCTGAGAACGAATAGGAGCGATTGCTGTGTGCATTAGACCAAGATGCACGGTTTCTGGGAATATCCTGTGTATGAGACTTTGACTGGCAACACCCTGTCACCCTGTCTTTGCCATTTCCTGCCCCACCATGCTGAGGGAAAGATGCAGGAGAAACTCCATGGAATGGCATTGGGACATTTTCACCTTCTGCACTTTGCTGGGGGGAAGAGGGTGATTTGACTCCTAGGTCCTGAGCCAAAGCCCCCTTAAGTGCACGCAAAGGCACCCATTGAGTGCAGGATCAGGTCCTTGGGGAGAAACTGCAAATAAAGTTACTTTATGTTTTAATATACATTGCCCTTTCCTAGCATCTTCACTTTGAGGATCTCAAAGCGCTAAGTCTTAGCACCCCTTGTGAGGTAGGGCAGGGTCATTATCCCTGTTTTGCAGATGGGCCACTGTGGCACAGAAAGGTTAAGTGACTTGCCCAAGTCACACAGGGAGTCTGTGGCACAGCCAGGTATACAGCCTAGATCTCTTGCCCCCCCCCAAGCGCTGTAACAGCCACCGGACCATCCTTCCACTCATTTCGTCCCTCTGCCTTATCTTACCCTTGAGCTTCTCTCCAAACATGCTCAGGAATACAGTAAAGTTAATTGCTCCAGGAGCCTCCTTTATCATTTCATCAAGTTCTTCGTTTTTTACATTCAAACGACCTAGACAAGAAACAAAAAGACAAATCACCTGGGACATGGATTAAACTTTATGCAGATTTTCAGGTACATGAGCCCATTTTATACACAAACAAGCCTATGAATGAGTTAAAAGACATAGAAAGGTGCATTTTTTACCATGGGAATAGTCTCCCCAGGGAAGTGGTAGAAGCTCGATCCTTGGAGAGAAAGAGAACTGGACCAGACAAAGCACTAGAAAGTGTATCGTAGGGAAGAATTCTGCACTGACTGAGGTATCCGCTACTCTGATTTCTATGAGTCTAGAGAACATCACAGAATTGCACCATGATTAGTTCCCACCTACATTTTGTCAGTAAAATGAACAGAACCAAACGTCTGCCTATTGTCATCCATAGAGCTACAAAAACAGGGCCTGATCCTCTTTGGATTACAATGCAGTCACAACTGATTTGCACCCTTCTAAGTGAGGTGATAACCGGGCCTTATGTTTCTCCAAGGATGTACATAAACCCCATAAATCACATAATCCAGCAAGACTACTCATAGAGTAAGGTATTACTCAGCAGGAGTAAGTCTGGCGGAATTGGGCCCTAATTAATTTAATAACCATTTTTGCTAGCCAGGGCCTAAATTATTTAACAACATCAGCCTCAAAAATGATCCACACTGACCAAAAATGTTCAGAAAGTAAAATAATCTGCTCTTTGTAATAGAAATGATTTTGGGTCCCGTAGTTTTGAGCAGAGGAAATGGAAGATCCAATTAACCAGGGATTGAATGAAATGGAAAGCAGAGTCGTTGATTTCTCATCTAATAATTAGTCTAACACGATCAAAGCCTTTTCTGGGAGGAAGGAGGGGCATTGTAAGATGCAGGCTTACCCACTGCAGCAAACGTATCTCTCAGATCTGCCTTGTCAATAAAGCCATCCCGGTTCTGATCCATGATGGTGAAGGCCTAGAAAGGGGAGAAAGGGGAATGGCAGCATGCAGAACAATAACCCACAGCTCCCTGAGAGTGTAATATCGCTCCCTCTGTTTAGCCATGTTACATTTCAGCCTGGCTAGGAACTGTGGTGTGGCAAGGGACATAACTGTCTTTGTTCACAGCTGTTCTTGCACCTTCCTCTCACAGTGATTTACGTCAGTGGGAGCAGAGGCGAGGGCTTCCAGCAGCATTCAGGATCGGGCCCAAAGAGCCCCTGTTGTTCAGCAGTACAGCAGCATTTATTAGGCTCCCTGGTGGTGCAGGGCTGGAAGCTGTTGCCCGATCCCCTCTGGGAGTGGCTGCGTGATGCGGGCTGAGGCATTGCTCAGCTGCCCAAGACTGCATCCCTTCCAGAGCAGGTGTCTCCACCCAACTGCCTCACCCTATGTGACCAATTGCTAATGTCCTAGGAGCCCAGCTGACCACGGTGCTCATAAGAATGACATTAGAAGATGCACTGTGAATGCTAGCAGGGGATGGGCCTCGCTGATTGATGGACATTGCAGCCAATCAGCTAGAAGAGAGCAGATGTCCCTGTCCAAAAGCTCAGTCAGGGTGCAGGACCCATGGGGTGGGAGATTATCCCTAAGGTATCACTACAGGTAGGAGAATTCCTTCTGTAGGAGTCCTGTGCGGGGGGAAAGGGGGTGTGACAGATGTTCTCTCCCACATGGTAGCTATTCTCTAGTTTTGTAAAGCTCATCAGTAGGCCTGGAGTTGTCTAAGCAGTAACCACTCTGTCTGCAGCCCAGGGCTGGAGTAACTATGACAGTGTTTACAAGCCCAGGGAGTGGGGCGGGGGGGAAGGACTCAGCCAGGAGAAGGCGTTGTGGAGCACAGGGGTTGGGGAGTTCACTTGCATGAGGTCTCCTGCCCCAACTGGCTCCCATGGTTCCCAGCATGCAGGAGTTCAGTTTTGGCCACTGCCTTGTCCTCAGTTATCGTACTCGGAGGAATATGGATACACTCCGCTAAAGAAGGCCTCATGTTATCACCCTGTCCAAAGACTCTCTGTGGGTAACTTTGAAGACCTGAAAATGTGTAACCTAATGACACCCATGAAAGGGTTAACCAGTTCTCGGTAATAATGCCCTGCCTCATGGTCACAGCTCAGCCAATGAGAATTTGCTCGGATTATACAGGGCTGCTGTCTTGTGTGCCATTGGCTGAGTGTCTTGTCACTCACTCTTCTGCTGGGAGTGCAGTGTCATGAAGTTGAGAGAAGACCCCGTATTTGATTATGTAGTTGAATTACGTTTGTTTGTCCCCCCAGTAAAGCAGTTGTCTTTTAAATGAGCTTCTAGGACTCTTGTTCCAAATCCAACATCACCGAACCTAAAAGCATTTAGAAAAAGTTTGACGATACCACCATATAGGTGGTTCTTGGCTTTACCCTTCATGGTCATTGCAACAAAGGCCACTTACCTCTTTGAATTCTTGGATCTGTGTTTGTTCAAACATAGAGAAGACGTTGGAATTAGCTCCCTCTGATCTCTTCTTAGCTTTCTTGGGTGCCTTGGAAAATTCAAGCATGCTATCATTAACTCACTGTATTTTTCAATGTGGAATAAATTTAAACTACCCTGAATTTATTCCTAAATCTTTATGAATAGCTAGGGACTGCTCCATGCTGGTGCACTTTAGTTCTTGAAATGATCCGCTCTTTCTCAGCTCAGAAGTGTGGGGTAAAGTACATGCTGTTCTGTAGCAATGGGAGTTATTATTTCTTCTCACAAGGTAGGGTAGAGCTCAGTTTCTTGGGCTCCTGATGCATTTGACCAAATTGATTAGTAGGGAAGCGACATGAAAAATGACTAGCCACACTACAGTGTGACATCTGCTGTGGTTCAAATGACATTTGGCTGAGAAGTAAAAGCAAAGAAATCTCCCCTTGTAACAATAGACATTCAGGAGTGGAAAAGATAGTTAAGCACGTCTCGGAGATTTCATGCAATGGCTGTCACTATTATGAGCTTTATCACGGTTTTGTACTTTTTATTAAGAATGATGTTACTGCAATGGCTACACATTAAAGCGCTCTAAAATCTGCCCTTTCCTACACCAAAGAAGATGAAACCCAGAATTGAGTTGATTGCGATTCTTGTGGTTTAAACAGGAAATGTTTCAACACACGTGCTAAAGTTTCTACCTTATTGAGAACTTCTGGTCCTTTCTACCTTAGCTGCACACATGTGATCTGCTATGATCTTTTCCTTTTAAATAAATATCACAGATTTGTAAGCGACCCCATTGAGAGGGTCCATGTCTGGTATTCCTAGGTACTGCAAAATAAAAATAAAAAGATTTAAATGTGCCAGTTCGAGGGATAGAGATGTACTTCCTAGAAGGTGCATGGATGAAGGGAAAGAATTCCAATTTGACCTTAAAATATTCTCAGTCCCATTTTGCAAGCTCTGTTTAGTTCTTGATTTGAAGACAGGGCAGCAGTTAACCTAGAAGAAAAAACCCACTTTGCTGCTGCTATTTTTATGCCACCGTGTATTAAATACCCCTAGACTGCTTACCTTGTTTCAGGAGCTATAAGGCATGTGTGTGCCATTAGGGCACTAAAGTCTCTCTCTCTCTCTCTCTCTCTCTCTCTCTCTCTCTCACTGATCGCTAGAGATGCTCCTAGTAAAGAATCCTGCTGCTGACAAGCTCATCTCACTGTCATTCCCGCAGCTGCCCACTCTCGTTACTCACCATCACCGGAGTTGCTTTGCACGGCCCCTGATGTTCTTGCAAGAGGAATTCAAAAGACAATCCCCCAGGCCGCTCTGCGCTGAAACAATAAATACAGCCCAGGGCAGTTTAAAAATAAACGCATGCCCACTTTTGGCTGTAATAGGTAAGTTAGCCGCCACCTCCGCCACCCCCAGCTCTGTTGTCTCTCCGTCTTTGTCTTGGTCTCATCTTGAATAACAGCTTGTTGTCCCTGTGACATGTGAGACCCAGAGGTTTTCAAGGTTAGAGAAATGCCAGCAGGCTGTGTGGGTGCCACTTTGAAGATGTTGACACGAGTCGTGCTGCACAGCTTGTGCAGAATGAGTGACACCTGCATTTGTCAGTGGCTTGGTGGGGGCGAGACAAGCATGCTAGAAAGCATATATCCTGGTAGCTAGGGATGTCTGTCTATACAGACGTACAGAGCCAGCTCTTGGAGCTGCACTGATTTACAGCAGCTGAAGATCTGGCCCGCAGATCAAGAAGGTTCAGTGCAGTGAATGTCAGATCTGAACCAGGATTTGAACTTCATCCCCCTCTCCCCGTCCAGGGGTATTCAGATGGAGGGTTTTGTTTTGCCTCATTAGAGAGCTGGGGTGACTTCCATGTACAGTGAGATACATCTATCTATCACCCAGATCTGCCTCTGAGATAGCACCTTCCACGCTGGGAGATCCCAGAGTGCTTCACCAACCACACAGATATTGGGATTCGCAGCACTCACCACACAAATGCAGCCTCCTCTGGGATGGAATGTGGCAGCTGTCACAACATAGCAATCACACAACCCTACCCACGTCTACCCGAAGGCCCCTATGGTCCAGGTGGTGTGAGCTGCCACCGTGCCAGGGCTGATGTAGCCCTTTGCGTGGCACCAGCAGGGCTGGGTGGGTCAGAACCTTTTGTCTGGGGTGGTGGGGTAGGTGCTTTTTCAACTGGATTCTTGTTGAGGGGCTGAGGAGCTCCTGCCCCACCCATCTGCCTGGTGGTAATGAGGGACCCAAGTGTCCAGCAGCTGCTGTCTCCAGTCTCCCTGATGGAAGGGGACCTGCTCCCTCCTCCTTCTCCTCCAGTTGCCCCCAGGGATCACTGGCCCGATAGGCCCCATCTCATGGTCCTATTTTGGAGCTGCTGAGGTCAGTGCGTGGCTGCCAGTGAGGGTGGAGCTTGGCCCAGCCAGTGCAGCTGGGATTATGCTGCTCGTTGGGCTGCAGAACCATGAGCAGGTGCTGCTGCAGTGAAGGGACATCGCAAAGCAGCCCCACATCCAAAGAGCCACCGGGCCAGATTCAGCCCTGCACAGGTGCCTGGCATAACATCCTGAGGAGGTGGCTCATGCCTCCCCCATCCTGGGGCTGCTGGGGGTTGGTCTGGCCCCACACAGGTCAGGGTGGCCCTCCTGAGGCTGTGCAGCACTATCCCTCAAAGCCATGAATGGGACAATGCCCCCCACACACACACCCATACCCTCTTACTGGTCCTTACTGATGGGCACCCACCTGCTACCCAGTTATGCCACACGCCTACTATGGCTTTAGCTCCAGTATGAGGCAGTGCAGTTGTTAACCCTCTGCCTTCCGTCCATTTTCAGCTAGCGTTGCACTGGGCTGTTGAATAGCTGCTCTGTTTCACCCCAGACGTGGCTGCACTTTCACCAGGCAGCCACTGCTGCTGCAATTGATTTGTCCTGGAAGAACAGACAACTGTAGCAGAGGTTACTGAAGGAGAGATATGGTGGATCCTCCTCCCAGCTGGACAGGCTACATCTCATCTGGTCGCACTAACCCAAGGAGCCATCGACTCACAAAGCTGAACTCACTGGTAAACTTTTTTTTCCCTCTTCATATATTTAGCCTGTTAATTTGATCCCCCCTACCCCCACCCCCTGAAGTCTAACATGTAGACATACTTGTCCAATGGAGTTGGACCGACACTCCTGGTTAAACAATGCCCTGCGTGTCCCCTCCCGGCTCTCAGCTGTCTTCGCTGCCCCGGCAGATTCTTGTCTTACAGGGTCTAAGATGCAAACAACAGCTGCTACTCCGGTGTCCCCTTTGCCACCCTGTGGAAATGGCCTTGTTACAGCTGAACCTGTTTGTGCTCAGACCTAGGAGCTATATAAAGGCCAGACCTCTTCACATTGCCATCCACTGGACGCGAGACACCCGGGCAAAGTTGCTTTCAACACTCCTCAGTTTGCTGGAGACGTTGTTAATAGGGAAGGATGGGAGAAATGGGGGGCTGTGCTTCTCACGGTGGGCCAGACCCCCTCTGGGAGTGCCTAAAGTCAGTCATATTTAGGCAGCTGCAGCTGGGACCTCAGAGCTTGCCCAGCTCCGGCTGGAATCGCCTGAATAGGGAACGCTGCCTTTGGCCCGTTGGGCCCCATGGAGAGGGAGTTCGGAGCTGGGTGGCTATTTTACCCACGCTGTTTGTGAGGTGCATGTAGAACATATGGCTATAGTGTGAGAAAGGGGCCGAGGGGGAGCCTGGGGCCGCAGAGAGAGAAGTGCCCAAGCTAGTGTCTGGCCAGCCTCAAAGACATGGAGGTTCAGGTCTGTTTGGTTGTTGCTCTCAGATCACTCAAAAGTCTCTGAATGAACAGGGGCACCAGTGTCAAGAGAGAGGTTCTTGGTGGGTTTCCAGGGCTTCATGGGGTCAGCCTCTCCTGTTGAGTCTGCATGTGCTTCCCACCCTATCTGAAACCGGGGAGTGCAAACTAGAGCAAGTTAACTAAAGATTCCCCAACCCCCCAGAATCGGGGTTTGGACAGGGTGCCAGTTGGTTCTTATTTTATCCAGATACCTGCACACATATATGTGGATGTGCTCACACACACACACTAAGAAACCCAAACCTGAGTGATCAATTCAGACAATCATCACAAGTCTCTGATTTTGTTGTTTTCCACAGGAAAGAATATAGAGCTATCTAGGAAACCTGGTTTTATTGCATTCTGAGATATTCCCCAGAGCGCGGGGAATTCCTTATTTTCCTTCATTTTATGAACATTTATCAGGGAATTTTCTAGGTGTCTCAGGATTTAGGACTCCATAGACATTAGGAACAAGCTCCCGGCTTTTAAAAATAAACGTATTTTGTAATACAGCACAATACATTGAAATCCACATCCTCCCAATTAGCTGTGCTACAAACGGGAATTGCGGCTGCAGAATGTTGCAGCTGAAATTCCCTTTCCGCTGCTGGCAAACGCAGGGTCAAGGCAGGGATCTTCCAGGGTGTAGCTCAAGGGCCAGATGTGGCCTGCAGTGTACGAAAATGCAGGCTATGCCCACCCGCTCTTTCCCCTGCAACCTCAGAGTGAGGACGGAGCTGATCGATTGCAGGTCTCATTGCTTGGGAAACTGACCAGCAAGCAATTTCTCTTCCTCTGTCAAGTACCAGCGGCTATCACAATGATGGGCATTCAGTTTTCGTTAAATAATGTATCAATATTTATCTGTAAAAGTAGGTGATACCCTGGGTCTCCGGGCAAGCTGCCCGGGCTGTTCTTGGTGTGACAAGGTTTTGGCAGCCCAGAGAGGAAGCGAGATGAGAGAGAAGAATTCGGCAGTCAAAGAGTTGAATTGTTTCTATTGTGCAAGAAATGGCTGTTTTGGTGGCTAGGGCGTGATTCAAGATTAAAATGTTGTTTGAATATCATGTTAAAATGAGGTGTCACTAGGTGTCCCACTGTGACAACTTTCCTGTACATTTCCTGACACATGCCCTACTCCAGCCAGGTACACGGAGGGAGGGAGTGGGGCGGAAGGGATAAGCTTCTGTATTTAAATCTTTAACAACATGATGACTATGCTCTGTGATACCAGGGAACGAATAATGTTCTTCCCAGATAATTATGTTTCAGAACTTGCATTGAGTATATATTAGTGACACACGGTATGGGACACTATCAGGCCTTCTGGTGAAAAAGATGAGAGAGCTGGACACTTTTTTATGGTGGGCTGCATTTCAATTGGGGGATGTGCTAGGGAACTGATCTAAGCCTAAAGATTCTTATCAGCAATGACTGTTGCTTAATGAGAACAGTAATTCCATGTAATGGAGGCACCTTTCAGGTGACTTAGCGGAGTTGAAGTTCACCGACTTCAGTGACATTATTTATTACCTACCCTGATGGGAGACCACGTCTAGTTACATTGAGATCTCCAGAAGCCATAGGTGGTACGGTAGCCTTCCCTCCCAGTAGCATACGGCTTAGGGAACACTCCTCCCCCAGGGAAGCTAGAAGGTTACAACGCTTTTGGAAACAAAAGGAAACAGTGTTTAATAAGCACTTGGGAAACCAGATCCCTGGGAGTTCAAGGACTGTGGTAAGATGAGCTAGCTTCTTGATTGCAAGATTGTCCTAGTTTGCCAAGAGGCTTTGAATATCGTTTTTTAATACCCTGACAGCCGCTTCTCAATGACACCTTCCTCTGCCTGGCTGCCTCTGCAAGCTAGCTCACAAGGCACATGGGCTTTAAAGGCCTTGCATGCTATTCCACTTATTCCAAGATGGCATTTGTTATAGGGTCAGCTGACAGAGCCAAACATAATGAAGGGCTCAGAAAAGACCCGGGAAAGAAGCTGGGTGTGTACAGGTGAAATCTGGTCCCCACCGTGGTGAACGGGAGAAAACCAGAAGGCAGAACTGCATTCCAGGAGAAAAGTCAAACGGCTAAAGCAAAATGGACAGTGTCCCCTTTCCTTCATGGAATAGGGGGTTTGTGAACTGAAGAGGAGTGCTAGCATGGGAGCTATTCTGGCCCTGAGCCAGGGCGTTGGAAAAGAGATTTAAATAGCTAAGAGGCTAAACAAGTAAGACAAAGAGATGGTATAAGAATAAACTCTTGAACGGGGCGTTTGAGCCAAGTCCTGAAGTCGATATTCAGCCCTTACTTGGGCAGAACTCCCACCAAAGTCTGATCGTGTATAAGGATTTAACGACTTGCCCTGGGGTTTTTTGGGGTGACTGTGAGGATGAAAGAGAAACAGGGAGACAGATCAGACTTTAGAGCAAAGTCTACAAAGTGTCTGCAGCTGGCATAGTACAAGTCACAGAGGAGCAGGGCAAATTCAGGGCCCTCATTAAAGCAAAACTATCAGGAAAATGCACTATCACAGGTCCCAGACCTGCGCCCCCAACCTCTGCTCTGATAATGATGAGAATTTATAAAAGAACACACTCTTGCCA